CTGTTATATTACAAAAGAGTATTAGAATAGACAAGGATATAATACAAAATACAGACTAGATAACACAAACCTCTATCAGACATTGCATTTACAAGAACATAAACATATAAAACTGACAGCAGGGAAAGCGCGAATGAACATTTTAAAGGGTCTCCCCGGACAACCACCTGCTGCCATCCTGTCAGTCAGCCATCGAACCAGGTATGCACCGCGCCGTTCGCATTTGCGCAGGAGATGACCCGTTCAAGAGCCAAGAGCCGAGAGTCGAGAGGCAAACATGATCATCCTGGGTAGAAGGGCAATTAAATTCGCGAGATTTTGCGGATCGCGGAATAAACGGCACGCGCCCGCGCGGAAGGGGGTGTGGCATGGCGAGCGTCGCGTCTGCTTGTTATGTAATTAGGCGCGTTTTCCACGTGACCGTACGTACGAACGGCTCGCGGTGTACATACCTACAGCCGATCAATATCGAGAGAGCGAGAGAGCGAGAGAGCGAGAAAGCGAGAAAGCGAGAGAGCGAGAGAGCGAGAGAGCGAGAGAGCGAGAGAGAGAGCGAGCGAGAGAGCGAGAGAGAGAGAGAGAGAGAGAGAGAGAGAGAGAGAGAGAGAGAGAGAGAGAAACAATCCGCGACAAGTGCGACAACGCGGCGACGTCGAGAGACGACGCGCGTCCTTCGGTAAGTAAATCCCTGAACAGAATCTTTGGTGAGTTACACGGACGGATTTGGCGATCCCAAAAATTAGGGTCAAGAAAAATAGCCGCCTCCAGGCCGATCCAATGGCGTCGGCGGACCACGGGCCGCCCTCGGGGGAGAGGGGGGCAGCAATCGATAATAACGCGTCGATGACGGGTACGGGGGAACGTGAACGTACGACGTGTCAGGACGAAGAATTATACGCGAGAAATCGCCAAGAAACCTCGCGGGCGGCTCGCTCGACGATCACGCGCGTCTTTATCCAACGTGACGTTTCATCGTGGAGAGAGCGAGAGATCGGCACGCGCGTGCGTCTCGTCGACGGGTCGGGTAGAGAAGTTGATGTAAACGCGCTTACGGCCCTACGTACCAGTAGGGAGATCGCTGAATCTCCTCTTCCTCCTCCTCGTTGTCGTCGTCGATGTTTTGCGACCGGACGCCAGGTCGGCTTTCCACCAGGAGGAGACTTCAGAGGATCTCGCGGGTTGGGCGACGCTGCTCGCCGACGACGAGACCACCAGAGACCATTGTGACCGCTCACGTGATGACAGATTGCGTGGTGGTGCTGCTGCTGCCTTGCGACCCGCCCGACAACTAAGCCACGGCGTCACGCGGCTCCGGCCCCCGACAAGACAACGCCGTGCCGTCAGCTGACTCGGCGACAGCAGTGCCAACGGCAGGCATCTCGCGTTATGAGTTATGTATGACTGATCGAAATTGATCAAGATCGAGCGATCTCGCGCGCACGCACGTCCGTCATCGTTTATCGCCGTTTATCATGGTTTATCACTGATCGGGAAAGTTCCGACGATGCGAATTGCGACGATCGAATGTCACACGTCACACGGTCGTATGAGAAAGTTAAGGGAGCAATTGGCAGCACTGTCATTGTCTGTATTTTGTGTGTATGTGTATGGGTGGTATAATTGATAGGATGTATACATACAGCTTCTATATTTTATATACTGCTCGCTGTAATTATTATTTTGCATATGGTAGAAAGGACAGGAGCGAAACTGATTACAAGCCGCTTTTGTATGTTTGTATATGTGCACATGTATACACGCTGCTGTACCAAATGTGCGCTATGTGCGGGATTTGAATATATCACGTGACTGTAATGTACATATAAAGTCTGAATGTGATTTGTGTATCTTATGACTGATCATGTGATGCCTTAAGACAGACCCTGATCAACATGGAGCTCCGGAGCCACGATGCTTCCCCCTTTCTATCCACGGAGAATGTGGAAAATGTTTCTCCACTGGCGGATGAAGTTTAGTAGGCATGAATGTCAAACTGCATCCAGTGCAGGAACTCGTTTTTCTCACTCTCCGTGGTCGGAAAGGGGGAAGCGACGTGGCTCCGGAGTTCCAAGTTCCAAGTTGACAGGCTTGTCTTAGAACTTAGAACATATATATTAATAAATGGAAGTATAAATGGAAGGGGAATTAAGTATCGAACCTGTGTCCAACATCTGTACAAGAAAGAAAGGGAGAAATCAACATGTCACATGACGTCAACATTTAAACTCGAGCAAAGCACAACAATCTCTCCTCTAACGGTAACCCAAGCAATGATATCGGCGCATGCGCATTGCGGAAGATCGATGGAGTCAATAGTCCGGGAGCCAGCTGCCATTTTAAGGGGATGCTAAAGCTAAGGCCGAACTTCCTCGACGTCGGTAATGTCAACTCTGTCAACTAAAGCAAAGGCCGAACTGATATTGGAGACCTCGCGTGGTGACAACGCGAAACTCCGGTTTCAGTGTTACCAACTTATTTCAGATTCTATGAAGTGGTGTATGTCCGTACACGTACACACACCACTGAATTGCTCACACGGACGCACGGTAGAGAGACATATGCTATAGACGCGGCAACGCCGCGCGGCGTTGCCGCGTCTTGGATTCTTTAGCAATACGGCCTGAACCTGAAAATGCTTTCTGGCCGTCTGTAGCAGAAGGCAGTAACGTATCAAGGCTGATAAGCACCCGCTTTTTATAAATTATATATATTCTTATGCACACATGTGCGTATATATATATAATATGTATCTAATCATTATGTGTATGTTTATAATTGTCTGATGACAAATAATAACAGTAGCATAATTGAGAATGTGAATTAGTATACATAGTATATTGACGCGGGTACTTATTAGACTTGACAATTTACTGCATCTCTTGCACCTCTAATAATTTTTTTCTTGTAATGTAAATGAATGATGTAAAACTCTTTCAAAGGATCTATCCATTCTTGATGGGGTAAAATAATAACTTTTATAACAAATGCAATAAATATTAAATATATAGTATTGATTTTATATATAACTAATTTTATTCTGTCTTTATATAGAAAAATATACCTCAGTCTTAGCATCAGAGTAGAGGGTAACGACAGCTGATGAACAGTATAAATAACAAAACTGAATAAAAATCTTAATTATTATAACATAATCCCAGTAAACCAGTTTGTAACTGTTATGTAACTTAGGGAGCACATGGAAAGAACAACTCTTCATTAGTACCTATACTTTACTCCTGTAAAAAAATTTTGCGATCTATAAAGCCGTTTCAAAGAACGAACTTTGACAGATATATGTCGTACAGATGCCTCGTTAGACAAGGACAGATATCTCTCGTATTATTCCTTTCTCTCCTATGTATGTAATTTGCATGCACCCATTTATTCCTCTTTCTCTCTCTCTCTCTCTCTCTCTCTCTCTCTCTCTCTCTCCATCCCTGTCCCTCTCTCTCTTAGTACACTGGGTAGCGTACACTTAGGGAGCTTTCCAGCAAATGACACAAGTCGACACAAGCATCGTTCTATCTTTCTTTTTTGGCAATGAGTAACAAAGATAAAACGATACTTGTGTCGATTTGTGTCGCTTGCTGGAAAACTCTCTTAGTATGGTAAAATCAGGATTTTTTGGAAGTGTGGTGTTAGGATTCTAGGGTAAATTTGAAGAAAGAAAAACGGTAATGTTATTTAGGACAAGAAACTCTATTTATTATATTTCGTTGATAAAATGTTGGGAAATATAAACGAAAATACATATATAAATGAAATATATTATGATATATTATTTTTTTTATTGTTACTGTCGAAAGTAAATAATATTACATAAAACCAGTAATGCAATTCAACATAGATATACATACACACGCACACGCATACGCAATCGCACATACATATGCATACGCACATACAAATTATTTTTATTATTTTTTCTGTGGGCTCCAGGCCCCGTCCACGATGACGATATCACGGACATGGGACGTCTCCAGGATCATGCTCCGATTACTTTGTACTAACAATAAGAATAATTTTGCATACTTTTTTTATTTTGTGCCTTTATATCATATGTATTTTTCAAGCATATAATAGCAACCTCGCAAAAGATGTCTTTTTTTATTTCAATTTCTGTTTCAAAAAGAATGTTTTTTTTCATATATATTTGCTTGTCATAGTGATTGAGATACGCGAGAACGCGCATAACGTGCAGTTTACGCCGAAGTGGCTGTTCGCGAGCGATATATGTTTCGTCGACGGATGATTAGCTAATTATGATTGTATACAGAATACTGGATATTTGCGTAAAGTATATATCGTTGCCTCGCGAATACAGTCGAAGGACCGTCGAGAAGAGGAAGCTCGCGGTGCTTTCATTTCCCTTCCGAGTGCGCTTCAATCTTTTATCCGTTTTCGCCCTCGTCTTCGTTTCCATTGCCAGTATGCGACAGCCGTTACTGCACTCCATGAAGGGTATCATTGCATGATTTGTCGAATAATACATAAGCAAAAGAGATGTCTTTCCTTGTGCTTAGAAATCCAAAAAGATTATTTCGAGAATCATAAAGAAATTGTATTCTGTTACTGTCTAATCGTTTTTATACATTTATAAGTTTACAAGTATACATATAGGACTTGAAAAGAAAGGAAAAAGGTAATCGTCGCGTTTTTTTTTCACAGAGACGAGCAAACGTGAAACTGTGTTATTCACGTTGCCCGACTAAATCAAACTCGGATGCTACAAGTATCTAGTTTTTATCCAGCGGGACTTATAGGATGCCGCGAATGCTGATATCAAGAATAATTATGATTTATCTTACTTAGTGGAGTACGTACATCTTTTCGGAAACGAAGACGATGACGACGATGACGATCAAACGAACGCTTCCGTTCTTGTCCCAAAATTGTTTTCGTTTTCTCTTGTAGCGAACGTTTCGAGGAATTTGCTTACGACGGTTCGTTAGCATATGTCTCGCGGTAATTAACAATTATACGGAGCCGTCATATTTCCCACAACGCGTAGGGAAAAAATTAAATGGTTTCTAATATGTATTCAGAGAATGTTGATTCATCATATTATTCTTTCGAACTTGCTTTCCTCCTTTTGAAAATTTACACCAAGAGAAACTTTTGTTACATATTACTTTATATTGATTTTTTTTAACATCTCTATTTCTTAAAAAGGAAACGAAAGCCGTAGAAGAAAATTATTAAACTTATCTTTATCGTGTTGGGAATTCATTCAATTTTATCGCTACGTGTCTCAACTTCTCTTGTTCAAAACAAAAAACTAATTTATAGCTTTTGATTTTACATATAATTGCTAAATTTCAGTTTTGTCACATGCGATTTGTGCGAGCTTATTTCGTGGAGCAAATATTTTGTTGCGTTTTCGAGAAAGTGTTTATCCGATCATTAGCGAAGCGACGCGATGCATTTATATTCGATCACGAAAGACTATGCGCAAATTTTTGCATTGTTTGCGGATTTTATAACTTTATTGACGAATATAAGATCTAAGATCTTTCGCATAATTGATTTACGATTAAACTCGCGCTTCATTGAGGCTCAGATGTACACCCGTCTGTATCACGTCAATAAAAATCTGGCAGCAAAACGTGTATATGAATTCATTCGTTTAGCAAAGGATGCGCGTCGACCTTAGAAGCGCACGTTGGAATTTCATTCGGAGGGAAAAAAATTTTGTCGCGTTTTTTTAATATTTCTGATTCTCAAAATAAATTCTTCGTGTATATTTTTTCGTGCTCATAATATTATTTGATACGCGCCCTCATACGCGCCCCCATACGCGCCGCCGTCGGCGTCAAAATGGCCTTATATATATATATATATAACTCATATAGACTCATTATATAAACTATAATAAATAGAGTTTCTTGTCCTAAATTACATTACCGTTTTTCTTTCTTCAAATATACCCTAGAATCCTAACACCACTCTTCCAGAAAATCCTGATTTTACCATACTAAGAGTAGCTACCCAGTGTATACTTGTAAGAGAAAGAGAGAGAGAGGGACAGGGATGAGAGAGGGGGAGAGAAAGAGAGAGAGGAATAAATGGGTGCATGCAAATTACATACATAGGAGAGAAAGGAATAATACGAAAGATATATGTCCTTGTCTAGAGGCATCTGTACGACATATCTCTCAAAGCTCGTTCTTTGAAACGGCTTCATAGATCGCAAAATCCTTTT